GGGGGGGGGGAGGTTGCCTCCCCCGGGCAGCCCCACAGCGGGGTGAGGGGCGGCGGAGGCAGACGCGGGGGCAAGGTTGTGTGCCAGGACAGCTGCCCCCCGTCCTTGCAAGTGGTGGGGAGGAAAATCCATGAAGCTGCCCCCCTCCTTGGGGGAGGATGGTGCAGTCCATTCCCTCCTTCCCCCTCCCATCTCGGGACGTACCACTCCGCGCCTCCTGGGGGGGAGTAGAGGTTCTCCTGCCCCCGGGCAGCCCCACAGCGGGGTGGAGGGAGAGGAGGCAGACACATGGGGGTGGGGACACACGGCAGGACGGCCGCCAGTGCCCCCCCCCTTGCTGGTGGTGGTGGGGGTGACACTCAGTGAAGAGCCCCCCCTTCCCCGGGGGAGGATGGTGCGGCCCGTTTCTGTGGCAACGCAGGACGCTAACAAGGGGCAGGGGCGGGCGGCCACGTGCGGGTGCAGTAGCACGTGGGCTGCGGCCAGGGGTCGGTGCCTGGTTTCCCACGGGCCCATCAGAAGCTCCTGGGTCATAGGACCCTATAAGGCAGCAGCAGTTCCCAGACTGTGGGTCTTGACCCATATGGGGTGGCAACATCAGTGGGTGTTAATGTGCCCCTGAGCTTCTGTGCTGCAGCCAGGCCCCACCTGCCCCGGGCCAGAGCCCCTCTGCAGCTCAGGGATGGGACCCATTGTGGGAGGGAGGCTGCACCGAGCGGGTGAGCAGGGGGTGCTTTTGGCTTGGCAGCCTTAGCAGCGTGGCGCTCCCTTCCTCCTGTGCAGGGTCCTGCCCACTGGGCCACAGAGCCCCTGGCGAGAGGGCGGCAGGGCAGGGAGCCCCAAGCCTGCAGCAGGTAGCCTGTATCCTCCCCCCCACTGCTCTGCTATGGCAGTGCTGCCCACAGGGAAGGGATGGAAGCAGGAGCCAGGTTCTGCACTCTGCTCCGGCTACAGCAGCCGCCTGCTGTGGAAGGGGACACGGCGCAGAGCACACCAGCCCCTTAAATGTGTTGAGGGAGTCCGTGGATACTGACTAGTGAAACTCTGCCTGGAGGTGTGACAGGAAGAGAGTCCCACACTCGCCTGGGTTCCTCCCAGCCAGAGCCTCCTTCCTGGTCTTGTAGATGGCCAGCTTGGCCAGAGCCAGGAGGAGGTTGACCAGGAGGTCCTGGGCCTTGGTGGGGCCACAGATGGGGAGTGCATAACAAAAAAGGTGTGGGGAGAAGTGCAGCCAGGACCTGAGCAGGAAGTTGTGGAAGAGGAGCTGACTGTGTGAGACAAGAGACTGGGCAAGATGGAGGGTCCTAGGGTCTGAGCCAGCAATTCTTGTGTTCCTATGTGCAAGCTAAACAGTTACAGTTACCATGCAGTTAGCAAGAGCACAATTAAATTACAATGTAAACAGTGAGGTTGCTAGATGCTATGAGCTACAGAGTTTATGCATTTAAGGGATACATAACCCCTGTTTGTTACAACATAAACAACAGGCATTGATTTGGGAGCGGCATGTACGCTTATCAGGTATGCATGTGAGAGGAACACAGCATATATCAAACAATTATCTTTGAGCAAAACAACTCATGGTTCCTTGAGGACATGCTGGTTTGTGCTGTTAAGTCCTATCCCTGCAAAACACATGTTGCTCGATATAAAATCCATTGAACTAAAAGCCAAGATTGTCAGCGAGTGAAGCCTTTTGCAAAAAACATCAGCAAAAACATTTAATCATGTGCATAAGAACTTTTCTGGATTGGGGCCTTAGAAGGATTGCAGCTGAGATAGTTACACATTGCTTCAGTTACAGGTAGAGCGATTATATCCATTATCTACGTCTTTCATGTTGTGGAGAAAGGAAAAAAATCCAAACTGAGATGTTACAGAAATTCAAATGTTTTCAAAACAAGCACAGCACTCCAGGAATTATGCTAAAACAATAATGCTGATTGATTCATTTATTGCAGAAAACCAAATGCTTTGGGAAAAAAAACACAGAAAAATGTCAGTGAACTTGCATATTGAACATGCCACTATTTTATTCTAGAATGGAAACAAGGATGTTCTCCTTTAAAGTCAGGGATTGGAGTAGGGTGGAGGAAGACAACTTCTGGCTGCAGTGGTAGGAGTGTTGCCAACAGATCAAGGGAAGTAATTATTCCCTTCTAGTCTGCATCTGGAGTAGTGTTTTCAGTTTGGGGCCCCCCACTAGAGAAAGGATGCAGACAAATTGGAGAGAGTCCAGCAGAGTCCAGAGGGCAATGAAAACCTTTAGGGGGCTGTGGCACATAAGCAGGAAAACAGCTGAGGGAACTGGGTTTCTTTAGTCTGCAGAAGAGAAAACTGAGGCGGGATTGAATAGCAGCCTTCAACTCCCTGAAGTGGGGTTCGAAAGAGGATGGAGCTGGCAGATGGCAGGACAAGGAGCAATGGGCTCAAGTTGCAGCAAGGGAGGTTTAGGTTGGATGTAAGGAAAAACTTTCTCACTAGGAAGGTGGTGAAGCACTGGAACAAGTTACCCAGAGAGGTGGTGGAGTCTCCATCCTTGGAGGTTTTTAAGGGCCAGCTCAACAAATCCCTGGCTGGGATGATCTAGTTGGGACTGGTCCTGGTTTGAGCAGGGGGTTGGACTAGATGTGACCTCCTGAGGTCCCTTCCAGTGCTAATTTTCAATGAATCTAACTTGCTGCTGCCCTTTCCAGGAGCAGCATTAGTAAAGGGAGCATCATGTATCTGGAGCAGGCAACTGCTATTAAGACAGCCCTCTTATGGAGTGTAATTTCTAATAGTTTCTCTATTTTTAATAGAGAAATTACTCTAATTTTTAACAAAAGGGCTGCCCCATACCAGTCATAGAATCATAGGGCTGGAAGGGACCCTGAAGGACCCTCGGGTCCAGCCCCCTGATGAGCAGGAAAGACATCTGGGGTCAGGTGACCCCGCCAGGTGACCGTCCAGTCTTCTCTTGAAGACCTCTAGGGTAAATATATGTATGTACAGATGTGTATACACACGCATACATATGTGTACACAGTCCATGTATGTATGTGTACACACACACACTCTCTCTCTCTATATATATACACACACACACACATATATATATACATGCACGCACACATACACATATATACACACACACACGTATGTGGGCCTGGAGCTGTGCACATGCTGCCCGCACCCCAACCCCTCTCTCCCGCAGCCCCTGGCCCTTCCCGGCCCGGCTGCCCCTGCTCCAACTCCGCACGGTGCGGCTCCCCCTCCGCCCTTTAGGGGGCGCACCCGGGAGAGGCGGTGGCACAACTGACGCACAGGTCCGTCCCCTGCCGGTCCGGGCGGGGGCACTTCCGGTGACAACGAGAGTCGGAACCCGGCGAGGACTTGCCTGGCCCGGGGGGAAGGGGAGGCGGCGGACAGGGTTCCGGAAGTTGTTGCAAGTGGGTGCGTGTGCGGTGGCGGCACCTACCCAGGTGCCGGGGAGGGGAGGTGGCATGTGAACCCCTGCGTCTCCGCCGGGCCCGGGAGGGGTCCATAGGAGCGGCCCTGGCCTGGCTGAGAGGGGAGGGGGAGCTGGGCACGACAGGGTCTTTACCCCCCCCCCCCCCCCCCCCCC